ATGTTGTGCTGAATAAATGACTTATTAATGTACATTTAATACCTGAAATATTTAGTGAATAAAATTACTAGAGAATTTAATATTTCTATTTTTCGTAAATACCTCCTAGTTCACTTTGGAAGTAACGAATTTGTGATATAATATAAATTGAGAGCATAATAAGTAACCATACATTTACGGAATAAATATTAATCATGGTGAATAGCTCTGGTCTGGCGATATAAGATGCACTCAATATAACCATATTATAAGTATCTTTAAACCATTGGGCGTTTGCGAAGTCCATTAGCCGCCCATCAACAGTCCATGGAGTCAATACACAATCTGTTTCCTAATTATGTGTAAATAAAGTAATGTTATTATATATATTGCTATTCATATTTGTCATTAAATACCGGATTTACTGCCAAATAATCATCGGCCTTAATAAAGTCATTAAATACTTTTAGAGTTATATTAAATTTAGTGAATACACCGCCCGATAGTGATTGGATAACCTGTTCATCAAACAGACATATTTCCTAAAATATACATGTTTTACCGTTGAAAATATTCATAAAATTAAAATAATTATCAAATAAATTTTCCATAAAACAAAATTACTTTATTAGTAAAATAAAATATTAACAATTTTTAAAAAATATAAGAAAACATGATAATAAATCTATTCATACGGCTTGTATTGCAATAATAATTAACGACAAATTGCTGGCGGGATCACCCAAGTAGTTATCCCCGAGTGAATATTGGTGACACTTTCTTATATAATAACTCATTCTTATAGTAATAAGTTTTAGTAATAATTCACTTTAACAATTGTAAAATAAGAAAATAACATATTTTATTTAGAAAAAGTTTATTAAAAATCACATGATAAAACAATTAAACTTAATAAAAAAAAGTTAAAATTACTTAATTTATGTTTGAGTAGCTAAAATTTAACTCAAAATTATATAATACTATATCCATAATAATTATAACATTAAATAAAATCCTTTTGAATTCATAAATTCTTAACATTATATTCACTAACTTGTAAGTAAGTTAAATTTTATAACTATAAATATATTTAAATAAATCATAATAGACAATTTTCATTATTGATTTGTGTTTACATGAGATATTTATTAAATATAGTACTAAATTAAATTCCCTTTTGTATACTACATTTATTGTACTGTATATAATGCACCAAACATTAATATAATCAATCTATAAAAAACAATAAAGATATGACAATTTAACGGATATTTCGCAATATATAATACAAACAATCATTGCTATACTAGTACAGTATGATATATATAATATGCATTATGAATATTTATTTATAAGGAGTTTTGTCGTATTAAAATAATTTAATTAAAATTATTACAATATTATATTATTCAAAAATAGCAATATTGATAATATAACAGATATCACACAATCAGGGCAACTATACTTTAGTTCGATATTAATGTACTTATAAAGTGTAATAATAAAGTAATGAAATTGAAAGTAATTAAATTTATTAAACAAATTACCACAAAAATGTAAAAGCTTATCACTAGTTTAATAAAAATTTAAAAATTTTCTAATATTATTTGACTAATTGGTAGTATGCCTACTATTATATAATAGATTCTCTTGTATATGTATTAAATAAAAGTTACATAATTTAAAGAGTTAAATAAATATTGCTTTTATTAATTGAATGCATGAAAAGTGATGTTAATATTGTGACAAATGTTGTCTATAAAAATCGTAGTACTATTGACGTCGACCTCAATTTGATGCATATATTGTTGACCGACTGAAGTGACAGGAATGGCCGATAATTCGCTTTTAATGCCCTTTAGATAGTGAAGGTTTTGTCCCAACCCCTCCTGTTGTAGTCCAGTTATGTTGAAATGTAGGCATTCCTCACTCCTGTCCACCAAATACCCGCACACATTGATTATGTGTTGAACCCTTTCGCGCATATCATCCTCGGCTACAGACATTACGATTGTTTTAAACATAATTTATAATAAATGTATAACTTTTGATTACAAACCATAAACCGTTACAATAAATATAACCAATAATAATAATAATAACTTCATTTTATATTTAGTAACTTATTAATAATAAGTAGTAATTAAATAACAAGGTGTGTTGAAACAATAATACCTGCAGATTATGTAACTCTTATTGTACATTATGTATACTATTTTGAAAATTATTTAGAATTTGTAGCTGTGTGAAATCTACACATGACTTTAAGTGGGTTAATTTTGTTATCACAATTATAGAAAAGTTATAAGGCTTTTATATCTATCAAAATAATTATCAAATATCCTTGTATACTGTACATCAATTAAGCAGTAATTTATTGTTGATCTAGCTAAAATAGACCAACATATACAGTGCAAGTAATACAGGAATTATAATACTGTATTACCCTAGTCTACTTCTAATAATTCTAAAATATATCTCCCTTTAAATTTACAGTATTAAAGTTTATAAACATTTAATTAACAATAATTATACAATACTGACGATTTATTTATTATTAAATAAACTAACAATAAAATATGTTAAATAAGTTTTAGCTATATTTAATTTTTTGAACTTATAATATAAATATATATTAAAATGTTTTTAATTCTTATTTTTAATTAAAAACATTAATTTTAATAAAAATTTCATTAAATAAAGTTGAAAATGTGCTACAATATTATAACATTACTTAATTTGATTGAATAAAATGTCATAAAATTTAATTTATGGAAAATAATAATAGTATCATGTAACTCCTCTTAAATGGTTTTAAGATTATTTGATTGTAAAACAAATTTTAAAGAAAAACTATTAAAGATATTGTAGTAAACACACTGTCAGCGTAACATAAAAGCGTCCCCAAAAGGGTTGTTAAGTTAATCGTTGTAATCAATTATAAATAGTTAGAATTGAGCTAGATCAAAACAATTATTTGCAACTATACATTGATATAACTAATTATCCTCTACTTTTAAGGGAACGGCATGAGAAAGGGATCAGTCATATCACGATAACTAACTTATAATAGATATGAAGAATCTGACTTCTGAAAATATGCGCAAGATAAATTCATAGGCTTTCAAGGTTTCCATTAAATTTGTTTGGTTTTTAAATAAAATTTTTAAATTGTAATTTTGATCATTTCTAATTATTGTTAATTGATTAACAGACTAACAACCCTTTTGGCGCCGCTTTTATTTTAAGTAATAAACCTTGATAAATTCTGTAAATAATAAGAATATAGCAGATGTTAAGCCAATGGTCAACAAAATGAAAGCCCCCTTCAAATCAGTCAACGAAATAAATCTAAGATCGGATAAAAGTAGAGGATAATTAGTTATATCAATGTATAGTTGCAAATAATTGTTTTGATCTAGCTCAATTCTAACTATTTATAATTGATTACAACGATAACTTAACAACCCTTTTGGCGCCGCTTTTATTTTAAGTAATAAACCTTGATAAATTCTGTAAATAATAAGAATATAGCAGATGTTAAGCCAATGGTCAACAAAATGAAAGCCCCCTTCAAATCAGTCAACGAAATAAATCTAAGATCGGAATCACTTTTAGGCTTCTCGTGTATATCGGGTCCAAAACCTTTGGGTTTCAGTGATTTCCTCACTTCATACTCATAGACACCACTGCTTTGAAGTCTTGCCACTCTTTTATTGAAATACAGTATAAAATCAATTATAAAATCATAAACTTAATTAGACTTACATTTTGTTGAATTTATAAATGAAAGCTTCATCCAGCACATCTTCATTAAGTAGCCATTTATAGAGTGTCGACGTATTTTCGTTTGGCGATACATAAAAGTCCCGGTCCTCCACATACCTGTCCTTATAATTAGAATTCCTTTCCATAAAACTCCTCAACAGATAGTATCCGACAGTTTTGCCGCCACATTTGTTTCTCATGACATCAAATACGAGCTGATTTTGTTCAGATGTGTTGGTCATCACAGATAACGGATCCGTGGGCTGCAACCTATTGAAGAGATCGGCTCCCATTTGTGAACCCGTTTGGCGCTCAGAAATCAAATAGTAAATCATAGTTTGGTCGAAGGGTACGATTGTCGCGTGTTTCCAATGAGATTTTGTGAACAAATCCTCTCTCTTCTCGACCCAATCAAACTCCTGACCCCTTATTATATTCTCGTATAAGGATCCGGAATATATGGATAACAGGATCGTACAGAATAATAGATAAATTCCAGCAAAGAATTGGTCAAATAATTGGGTTTTGTCTTTAAATTGGAAAGTATCCGACAGAATCACTGCAAAGTATCCCCAAATAGTTTCCAAACATTTATTCAGAGATCGATATCTGAGACCAGTTATAATCGCAATCAATATTATGGATAATAAAAGCCACAAATATATATAATAATCCAAACAATTAATGAACTCAAAAGGATGTCTGTTAACTGATAACATAATCATAGAATAATGTATGTAATAATTATTAGTAAAACTGGTACTGAAATTGGTAGAAGCAGTAGTGCCATAACTAACCCAGTGAATTTTAACATTTTGTGTATAATAGGTTCTAAATTTAAATTGAATTATGAACTAAAACAACTATGAATTATGTTTAAAAGTTTAATGATTTATTCAAATTCTCTAAACCACTGCTCTTATACCATATATTTGAGTATTAGACACTATAATGAAATACAGACCCAATGATGTGCTGCTGATTATGACATCCCCTTCAGTTGAACCAATAAACCGGCTGCCAATGAAGCCCGCGTCCCCGAATTCTATGCCAAATATGTTGGGTTCAAAGGGGTAGATAAATAAAGCTATATGGAGGACGTCTATTATTTTCGACAAATCAGTCAGTGAATACATATCACTCTTCTGTCGCTCCAGTCTAAAACTATTTCAATCATATTTATATAATTACTTCATTTGATTATGGATATTTGGTCTTGACCAATTATAAAATACTTAGTATTGATATATTGAGCGAATGTCCGCAACAGTACTACAAACGGACCGCAATATTGGTAGTACAGTACGGATGTGTTGTCTACGAGGGTTTCATACCATTCATTGTATGTGAGAAGTGGCGGAAACATGAATATACTAATTTCTACTGGGTCACCTGTTGAATTTATAGCCCAATCCGTGATATTTTGGTTTGCGTTCAAAGTTATACAACTTTTGTTGACAATATATTCAAACATAATTGATATACTGTACTGTATGAAAATTAAAAACTTTAATTTTACAATTTTGAATCGACAAGTGTTCCGCCTTCACATCAAATATTGTAATATTATTTAAATGTCAGAATATTCTTTAAATACCGGTGAGCATCATTAGAATATTGTATACATTTGTAAAAATGATATTACAATATTATAAATGACAATAACATACTAATCATCCCTTTTATTGTATGCCATATATTCAATATACAGTAATTATCTCTTATAAATTTCGTTTAATTAAATATTTTAGTTTTTAAACAAATCTGTAGTTATTTTTAGGTATAGGACAATAGATTTGAATAGTTTTCAAAATATTCTTTTATCACAACAACGATTAATATTTGTCAATGGATTTCGCAAACTTTATTATTACGGTACTTATTATACTTACATGGGACACTTGTATGCTGGTACTAATTATCTTTTTATTGTGTTATTTGCTATTTTCTTAAAAATTTTATGATATTATAAATCCGTTAATAAGAGAAAACTTGTGATTATCACTAAACTATTACCGTACTTGTATTATCATTATTTAAAATATAATTTACTTTGCAAGTTATATAGAAATTAGTATATAATTATTCATTTTACAATTACCGTATTAATAATTATAATATTAGAAAAATTTAATGGAAATCAACATTTAATAATTACGGTACATTTAAAAAATAATTACAATATTTACATTTCATATTTACAGCATGGTACATTAATTATATGTTATGATATTTTAAATCTATAATATCTAATCGTAACAAATTAATAGAAATAAATTCAATTAAAAAGTAGTATAATTCCGGTATACAAGTAATGACTTCAAAAGTCAGTCATATTTTTATTATGGGTTTCCCTCTTATGCCTATTCAGCAGTATTTTACTGTAAAAACTGAGCCCACAGTCGATGGCCTCACACCTGAATGGCCGCAAGTCTTGGTGTCTATTCATATGCTCCGTAAGCATGAAGTTCTGTGCGAACCGTTGTCCACATGCGGGCCAACTGCACACAATGGGCTTCAAGTGTTGCAACCGATGACTGGTTAACATCTTTTTGGTCACAAAACTCTTCATACAGTCGTCGATATCGCACACAAACACGCGTTCATTGAGATGACAGGCCTTATGGAGGGCCAGCTGTTGGCGACCCTTGAACGCGGAGTCACATCCGGGCCAATCGCACCCATAGGGCCGCTCATCGCTGTGTCGGTACTGTTTGTGGCCTTTGAGGCCGTTTTTGGTGACGAAAGCGCTGTCGCACTCATCGCACTGGTATTGCCTCAGCTGCCGGTGCCGTAAGTGGTGTTCAGTCAACAACTGCTGCGTTCGCGTCACATACGGACAGTCAGTGTATTCACATCTCAATGTCTTTTCCGTTTTGTGGATCCGTTTGTGGACTTTGAGGTACCGCTCGATGGGGAACGTCTTGTGGCACTCGTCGCACGCGAATGGCCTCTCATTCGTGTGCTTCAGCCGTATGTGAGCCACGAGTTCACCCTTTTCTCGGAACCCTTTACCACATCCGCTATATTCACAGCAAAACACTTTCGGTCGGAAGCGCTTCCCTTTCGCACCACTTATTGTCTCGTTTGGCTCAACACCTATTGATTCACAATTCACTCTATTATCACGAGATGTGTCCACAAATTGATCTTCAGTTTCCGTTTCGACCACTTTATGCACACGTTTTGCCATTTCTTGTGGCTTTGTCTCTGTTTTCTTGAATCCAATTCTTCGTACGACTCGTCGGATGTGAATGTGTTTTGGATAATGAGTCCCAATGTTGGATGTCTTTGTGGTCATGTGCTGAGTGTTTGTCGNTATAGATATATGAGGTTTATTCTGTATAATACCGTTAGTGCATAATCTATAAGTACACAAAATACTTGATTTGTTTGGTTTATACTGAAATACACGGCTATATAAACCAGGTTTTCATTGAAATCACTTTCACTTGAGTTCAGTACGAGTCTCAATATTAGATTCAATAGTAATTTGTTCAGAGAATTAATAAAACCTTAATTCATTGCTAGCTATGTCTACATCAAAAGATTTCAATGGGAAAGTAGTGCTGATCACCGGTTCCAGCGGTGGTATCGGAGCCGTAGCCGCCGTCGAGTTCGCCCGATATGGGGCTCAGGTAGTGGTGACCGGAAGGGACGCTCAGAAAGTGTCAGATGTGGCCAAACAATGCGCTAAAGTTTCGCCCAAAGGTCTCAAACCTCTTGAAGTGGTGGCAGATGTCAGCAAAAACGATGACTGCAAACGACTCATCGATTCCACGATCAGTGCGTTCAAGAAGTTAGACGTTTTGGTGAATAACGCGGGAAGGGGTATGAGATGTCCCATCACTGACACTACCGTTTTGGACAAATACCAAGAGGTGATGGACACTAATCTGAAGTCCGTTCTCTATTTGACTCATTTATCTGTTGAACACTTGGAGAAAACAAAAGGCAATATAATTAACATATCGAGTGTCGCCGGACTTAAACCGGTAAGCGATCCATTCAATTGAAACATTAAATTATTATTAAATTTCTTATTAAATGTTAATAATTTTATTAATTTGTAATTAGTTTTCGGGCGCTTTTCTATACTGTATGTCGAAGAGTGCCCTGGACATGTTTACAAAATGCCTGGCCCTCGAGTTGGGTCCGAAAGGCATTCGCGTCAATGTTATCAAGTAATTGATTGATTGTATAAATTATTTGATTTTTTGAATTAATAGTAATGTATTTGTTTTGCACAAATGAAGTCCGGCTGCCGTGAGAACCAATTTCCTGAATGTGTTGGGAATGTCTGACCAACAGAGGGACGAGAGATACGATGAGATGAGTGGCAAATATCCCATCAGACGAGTCGGTGAATCCATAGACATCGCGAACGCCATACTATTCTTGGCGTCCGATGAGTCCTCGTTTGTGACGGGAATTAACTTTGTCTCAGATGGTGGTGCTCTCAATGCGTCGCTTTAATACATAATAACGTATTTTTTAATGATTTACGAGTTAAAAATATAATTTGAATAATTTGATTATTAATTGCCTTCAATAAAATGAAATATTCCGTAATAACTCCGAAATATTCTGTACTCTATACTGTGTTTGTGTGTAATTTAATTAGTACTGTATTTCGATACTTATATCGAGTATTGCAACCGACATGCAAATGATAAACCGTACGAATACTCCTTTTAGATCAGCTATGGCTATGGGTTTGAAAGTTGTTTCCTTAATTACTTTGCTATAAATATCGGGTCCAAACCCTTTAGGAATTAATCATTTGTTCACTTCATACTCATAATTACGAGTCTACAGTGTATCGCAAATATAAAATTAAATTTAATTAACTTAGTTCAAAATGAATTGCACAAATTTTTCAAGTTAAATGCTTTTCTAACAAAATAAATTATTTATAAGATTTAGTTATCATATGTGTGAATGAGATATACAATAATGGACTTACATTAAATTAATTGCTTAGTAAATGTTTCATTGAGACTCTCGTTATTGATTTAACAAAGTTTTATAGGTTTAACAAAAAATTAAGAATTATTCTCTCTTGTGATACAATGATATAACAGTTTTTAATTCAAGAATATTCTTAATTCAAAGTATATTACACTCAATACATAAGTTTGGCAAGGCTTTTAGACATTGGGTTTAAAAGGTAGTCCATATCCCCGGTATGTTAAAGGGAGGCTTACAGGGTGAGGTGTAGAGGTAGACGGAAAATGACAATGACCAAGACCAATTAAACACAACATTTGAAAGTAGTCAGAAATAATAGTTTGGCGCAAGTGTTGAATTGGTGTCGAATCCTATGATAACGTTATTAATGAATAGTTTTGTAAACAAGTGGTGAATGAATCGATAGATTGAGTGTTTGTTGTGATAGTTGTGTGACTTCGAGGACCAGTTGTGGTGATGTCTGGAGGGATGTCTGTGTCGTGCGAAGTGTCGGACGCAGTGGTGATGTCTTCGGCGATGGATGCGTTGAGAGATGAGAATAAACGACTGAAAAGTGATTTAAATTATTACCAGAAATGCAGTGAATTGTATGAAAACTATAGAAAATGTTTGTTATATTTCGACAACAATTGCGTTTGTATTCAAAACAAAGACTTTTATTTCGTTATCGAAAGCCTCGAAATGCAATACAAAACACTCCTCAGACAAGACATGCAATTCACGTATCAATTGATCCAAAACCACACCAAAACACTAACGCCTCAACCCTTCGCCACCACTTCCGCCGCCAAAGACACGAAAGCCATGCAATTGGACGACACGTCCAATGAGGACACCAGTGATCAGACATCGGATGACGAGGACATCGGTTGTGATAAACAAAACAATACTCGGAATGAGTTGAACGCCAAACAGACGAGACATTCGGCGAACGCATCGGTATATCAGCTGAAGAATGGCATCAAAGAGACGGACGGATCGGACAAATCGGGTGCCAATCGACTGAAGTTCATGTGCTCTTGGATTGGATGCGATCTCCGGTTTCGCGACAATTACGCCCTTAAGGCACACATACGGCTCCGACACACGAATGAGCGGCCATTCGCGTGCACCGATTGTCACAAGAGTTTTGCCGACAAAAAACACCTCAAAGAGCACCAGAAGATCCACAGCACCGGCGGTCAGATGTTTCGCTGCGAGTTCACGGACTGTCACTACGAGACCAGACGGGAGGCCAACCTCAAGGAACACGTGTTGCGCCACAAGAATATCCGGAACTACAAGTGCGACGAAAGCGGTTGCGACAAGAGTTTTGTCACCAATTATGAGCTCAAAGTGCATAAGAGTCACGTCCACAGCGAGGACCGGCCGTTCACATGCGATTGGCCCGGATGTGAGGCCACCTATAAGAGCAAACAGCGCTTGGATGACCACAAACTGTCCCATTTGGGGGTCCGGCAGTTCGCGTGCGACTTCCACGGCTGCGCCAAGAACTTCATCACCAAAAAGAAGTTGACTCAACACCGCAACGAACACATTAAGCCCTACGCCTGCAGTTGGCCCGAGTGTGGGGAGGC